CACGTCTCTGTGCTTCGTCTACCCACTCGACTTTGCCAGAACCAGGTTGGCTGCCGATGTAGGCAAAGCAGGCGCTGTGCGTGAGTTCTCAGGCTTAGGTAATTGTTTGACGAAAATCTTCAAATCTGACGGTCTCATCGGTCTTTACCGCGGATTCGGCGTATCGGTGCAGGGTATCATCATTTATCGTGCGTCTTACTTCGGTTTCTACGACACTGCCCGTGGTATGCTGCCAGACCCCAAAAATACTCCATTCCTCATCTCATGGGGTATCGCCCAGGTGAGAACAAGACTTGGTTTATTTCTGCCGTCCAAGTTCGTGCGATCTCATTGTAATTGCATTTCGCTTATTCATCCGAATTTGTTGCAGGTCGTAACCACTGTCGCGGGTATTGTGTCCTATCCCTTCGATACAGTACGTAGGCGTATGATGATGCAGTCCGGTCGTGCCAAGACTGATATGCTGTACAAAAACACTCTTCATTGCTGGGCTACTATTTACAAGACGGAAGGTGGTAATGCCTTCTTCAAGGGCGCGTTCTCTAATGTTCTCCGTGGTACCGGTGGTGCGCTCGTACTCGTGTTGTACGATGAAATCAAGAACCTTCTTTAAAGCGTTAAAACGATCCTCGTCTCATTACTTTCACGATCACTGACATCGTCATTCATTATCCATCCGATTTGATATAGCGATTCCCACAGACCGACGGACAGAAGTGACTTGCTGTCGGCGATATTAACAAGTAATTCAGGCTGAGGACGTTTCGATGTAGCAGCTCGTAAAGTGCATGAAACTCGGCAAAAATTGTAAACATAAAAAAAAGGATACAAGCATAGAAGAGAATCTGCTTAACTTATTGCCGGATTCAGTATTTTCTCGCAGCGGTTGACATTACGTATTTTCGTATTCCATTGTAAAAACGTTTGAGGAGGCCAGCACAATCGCGTAGGTACCGCGAACACCTGTTACCTGGATAACGTTCCATACACGCCACGCTGAGTAAGTAGGACCGGTCGGAATATCAAAGTACTTGAAAGTAATAAATTGCCTAGAGAACCGAGTCAGCGCACGCGAAACCATCGAGAGAGGAGGACGCGCGACGAAAATGTCATCACGGCGATGACGGGGCGCGTAGCCTGGGCCGCCCCCCGCCCTTATTCTCGGCCCGTTGTAGATAATTCATAATTAATTCGTAATTAATAAACAATCATTTTAATGGTATCAGCCAGTCCGTCGATTTTTGATGGACGATAATTTAATTTCGCACTCCAGACGACCATGTAAGATGAAAAGCGTTACTCAGAATGTATGCATCTAATCTGTTCATGTTAGGATGCATGCAGGGAAAGCAGCAAATCAATAAAAACGATATAAAATTTCATACATTCGGACATTTATTTTCTTTCCTAAAACGATAAAAAAAGATATTTGTTCAGAGCTACCTTTAGTGTAATCAATTTCGAGTTTATTTTAAAAATTTGATTATAAAATGAATAAAAATTAACAGAATTTAACAATTTCAGATTTTAAATATAAAATATTTTTTCATATTTAATATCTTTCAGTTAATATGATAAAATGCTCAATATCAATATCTGATATATTTCTAAATTAACATTTCTAATTACGATCACTGATATTCGAAAGTTTTTAAAAGAAGTTTATACAAATTCGGTACATTCTTCATTTTGATGTTGATATGTGAGACATATTGATAAAAAAAAATACACATTAAACACGTTCATTTATTGTTATCCCAAAACATTCATTACTTGATCAGGAGAGAGTACATTTTTAGTCATTATTTATTAACAGATAATGATTTAATGATTAATACTTTGATAAAGAATTTGAAAATTATCTTCTTACAGAAGACTTCGGAATGTTTTCTGTAAACAAATGTACCCTTGACATAATCAGTATACATATGTCATGTGTATATAAATTGGAAACATACAAATTGATTATACTAGGTTCTTACCGGTATTTTTCTTACACTGACATAAGAAGTAAATTATTCTTACATTTTTGTACAGAAATTTGACCGCCGGCACTCTCAAACAGGAATGACAGAAAAAGTATGTGAAACATGACATTTGACCGCTTTATATACAGGTTTCCAAGCAAGAGGATGCGGATGTTTCTGATATACTGTATAGTCATATCATACCCTCGTTCGGTTAGAGTCACCCGCTATTATATCCAAAACCCGACTGATGCCAGGCATGTTCAGTACAGTTCCCAATATGGGTACTCTTCGTAAGAAGTTTATCGCTACTGGTAGAAAACCACTGAAACAAAGATGTGCGTGATAAATTATTATCGTTGACAGGACATTCGAGTTCATTAAGTCTCCCACCAGTGGACGCCAAGTCATTCGAGACAATCTTGTTTCATATGTAGAAACGATGCACTTGCATTGTTTTTCGACGCTTCAATGTTGTCTTTAGTAGGATTACACTTGATTCAAGTTCACCGTGCATCCTGTTACCGAGGCGTCCACTGTTCGAAGGTTAAACTAATGTATACAAAACTTACCTGAATAATAGTACAAAGCCATAGGTTTCTAAGATCATTCCTACAATGGGCCAACCTAAAAGTACTACAAAAACACCTCCTAGAAACGAAACGCTGGCTTTCATCTTATGCCTTTGAAAGAAGAAGTTTAACGTCCTCCACGGTCCGATGACACACGCGAGTCCCGATATAAACAAAAGCTGCAAGGGGGTAAATCACGAAAGGTCAATCACGGATGTAAGATTCAACGTAAATATAAATAAACAGGAGCGTGTTCTTACATTTCCAATGGCGAGTAGACCCTTGTCGAAGAGTAACAGCACTCCGAGGAACAGGAAGGAGATCCCAAACCCCGCCAGTCCCACTCCGATTTCTGTAAAACGTCCCTTATAGTAAAATCCAACGGTACGCAATCAAGGCTGCGGTCCACTTGATGCTGCAAATGCTTCGAAGCATTCCTCTTCTCCTTTCTTTCAATAAAGAAAGAAGGAGAGGAAGAACGCTTCAAAGCATTTGTAGCGTCAAGTGGACCGCAGCTAAAAATATAATCACGCCGGCTTGGCACGAAAGATCCTGAAGGATCCGCCGGTGCCGGTAAAACGAGAATGATTCTCGCACTCACTCTGCGTGTCCGTGATTTCGAACATTATTTACAAATTGTTCGGCGCTGGAAACGTGCCCCGATACACCTTGGCGACTACCGATTACGTTTTCAGCTTTTCAGCGTGAACGGGAAGTTAACCTATATCCACGTCATTGGTTATGATGCGGCACGAATCCACTGTACGTTCACGGAGCTTCGTCAGCTCTCTCGTCGCCCTTTATGCGCGACTGAATTCATCAGAGAAACGTTTTAATCCATCTTCCGTTCATCCGTCGTTCCCAGAATCGTACAAAATTATTAAAAAAAATAAATAAATAAATCCGTGGGACACAATTGGCACTCGAGTTTCGAAATACTTGAGCGTCAAACGTCAAACCTGAATTGAACGTCCCGATTATTCCCGATTAGTCCCGATCGTCTTATCAGCGCAACAAATATACACGTGCCGTGTGCGCAAAATGTGCACGCGTTTACATTTATGTCTATTTTTATTCAACTTTTCAGCTATTAATGAATCCGGAGCGCAAATATTGCGCGTCGTTATTACAAAAACGCGAATCATCGCTTGAGGGATCTATTATGCTGGGTTCAAATTTTTTTTATTAAAGAATATTATAAATAACAAAAATAACAATAATAATAACTACAATAAGTAACATTGGGTCTGTTCGCGTTGCTTCACTTTTTGCACTCAGCATCTTCGCTTTCTCTCTCTCCAACGGCCGAATATATATTTATCTCATTTCAAGTGCAAAAATGTTTGGGGATTTCAAGCAACGCGAACAAGTTTATTCTTATAACTTTCTTGTTATTTATAATATTTTTTAATAAAAAAAAATTTGAACCTGGAATTTTAATTTAATTTGAACCCGACACACATATATATATATACTATATAAATGTCAGTATAACCACTCTCAGGAGTCTCAGGTCACATTTCTTGTAGCATGTATGTATATATATATGTATGTATATATTTTTTTTATCCACCTTTTGTTCGATTTTACAATTGTCAAGTTATGTATTACAAG